ACACTGTAGTTAAGTCCTGAGTCATGGAGCCACATTCACACCTGGAACTATTTATAAATTCTTTTAGAAATGCCAGTCTAATAAATGTTTCACCAGCCATTAATTCATGAGCTGTGCACAGTAGTCAAAACCAAAGGGGGACTGCCACAGCTGTCAGGCTCCAGATGCTCTGGGAGCCCAGTCCTGCCACGTTGTCCCAGTGTCCATGTGAAGGAACGCTGGGAACTGGGCATATCACCACCATTCACCCTGGCCTGCTTCCAACAGCTGCATCTGGCTTGGAAGATGGCTGTTGCTGGCAGCATCATGTTCCCTGCGACGCTGGGCGCTGGACTGCAGCCAGGCCGGAGAGTCAGACCTCCACCCAGCACACGTGGTCCAACCTCATCTGCCTGTCTCCCCAGAATCTCTGCGCAAGCTCTGTTGTCCAGCACACTGAATCCTCCTGAAAACATATTTCTGCAGTCAACAGAAAAGATGGAATGAAAACCACACAGATGAAAAATCATGTCATTTATTAATAATTTCTTTTTTTCTTCTATAAATTGGAAGGAAAGTCTTTGGTGACACTTGGTATAGAACAATCTATCTTCGATGGCAAAATCCAGAAATAAAGTTACACAGGTCAGTGAAGTAAATCAAGATCTATGGCTTTGCATTTTCTTGAAAGCTCTCTGTCACATACACTTCAGGGCTTAATTGTACTAAGTCATTAACAGTCTATAACAAATGGGGAAAATACTTCAGAAAAGACCTGTGGCAAAACTACAAAAAGCATTGGCAACATATTAGGAAACTGTCCCAAATGTACATCGTATACAAAATAAAGTATACTTTTTTTTCTGCTTGGCAATTTGCCACCAAAAATTATTTCAGTTTTTGATGTCTTTCCTCAACTCTTCAACATATCCTATACATATTTTTTCTCTCAAAATAAATATACAAGGTTCGCTACATGGTAACCAGGTTGTGTCCATGGCCCTAATTTTAGTAATAATTACAAGCAAAAGGAAAGGAAGGTATTCCTGTAGGAGAAGAACAGAGAAGTATTGCAGGAATCAAATGGCCTTTGAGGCCAAAAAGGCAAATCATTACAAAAACGGAATGATTGAAAGGCTAGCTTGGCTTGGTATTAAACAAGGGTGAGACCATGCTAACTGAGGGATTTCTTACTGGTCACCACTTGTCTGTTGTTCCAGAGGATAATACAGCCTTCCTCACCTTTAATCGGGCAGTGGAAGTCCCAAATCCGGGTAGCTCATTTAGTCTCCTGATATGGAACACACTGGAGCTTTAGATTAGTGACAAGCACAGACAGTCCCTGGTAAGTAAAAATCACGGAAATAAAATTCTTTGATTTTTAGGAAAGGGCAAAAAGAGGAGATGGTTTTCTGGCATTATCTTTACTATTGAGATTATGCTGTAAAGAGCAGCTTTTCTATGCACAGGACAGTGTTCCTGAATTGATGGGAGAGACTGTGTCCTTAGGTGCTCCATCTCATTTTTAAGAAGTAGACTTAAGAGTCAAGGAATAATCTGTCTACATGCTGAAGTGCTAAGAGTGAGGGAGACCAATTTAGCACAGTCTTATATTAATGGTTATTCACTGAGAACTCAAGTCAGAACAACTTTGTCCCGCTTAAGCATGCCTGAGAAAATGAGGCTGGTAGGGAGAACTTTCTTGGGGAAATCTGGCAGAGAATGGCAAAGCCATCTAAAAGGTTCTTGTCTACAGTTGCTGCAAATGGAAACCAGGTAAACGAATTCAACAGCTGAAGTCTTGTATCGGTTACAGGGCGATTATATATTAACTATCAGAAGGCAGGAATGCTTTTATTTGACAGTTCATGGCAATACTGGTACCTTGAAAAATCAGACTCTCAGATACTGGGGGAACATAAGATACTTTCAAGCCTGGCAAGTTCTCCTTGGCTTTTGCATCCATAATTCAGCTTGTCCAGCAAGTCTTATTCAGATTCTAACCTGGTAGGGCTTTCTGCCTTCTCCCCACTTCCGTTCTTTAAATAGTTTTGATTAAAATATCATTAATTCCTAAATCATGAGCTTTTTAATTTTTTTTAACAGTATATAGGTCTATCATCTTAACCCCGATTAAACAAGTTTAGTAACTTTTATGAAAGGCCACTGACATAATATTCCTTGTGACCAGGTATCCAGAACCACTAAAATAAAGGCTAACATAGCCTACTGTAAATGAAAAAAATCACTCCAAAAGGAAAATCGAAGAAGGCAACTGAGATTGATCCTTCTTTGAGCACCATTTGCGACAAGAAATTAAACTGTAATGCACATAAGATTCCAGGTGTAAGAGATTTCACTTTCTTCTGAAGCATCCTATTGCAAAGTGTGCTATGTTCAGGTAGACCCACCTAGCTATGCTCTTTGTGACACAATTACAATGATTATTAATGGACTTTTCCTCTACAGCCTTCATGTTGGGTCATTTTGTCTTTAACAAAGGTGGTGTTGCATGCATATGTAAACTTGGTATTTATAAGCCTTTTCATATGAATAAATATATAAGCCAGCTTTAAAAAATTTTGAGATCATGCATCTTACTGTGGGGCTGAAAAAAGAAGTGGTGTGGAAATCCTAGGGCTGAGCCCTCTATAGAATTTCTGCATGTAATTCATTATGTGGTTGGCACTGCACTCACTGGTCTTGGCTTCTTCCCAGCTCCTGGTGGCCCACTCCGGGACACCTGGTTATCATTAAAGTTGAGAGATAACTCCTGACATCCTCCAGAGATGGTTATTATTTGTCAACTTGCTGCAGTGGAATACAAATCTTGCCTAAGTGAATTAAAATTACATCTTAGTGTTGGGCCTCACTGATTTGCTAAGCATTGTTCAATTCCCTGCTGTATGTTCCAAATAGGAAAGAACATTCTAGCTAGCATCCCTAAGAGATTTGCTCAATGACATAAAATGAAATCATGAAGATTTAAGGTGGCTAAATAATGTGTCAGATCCTATTCTTATTTATAATTACCATCCTTTTTTTTTTCCCAAGTGATATACATTGTGGAGAATATGCCCTGTGCATTTTGTAACAGGTAAATCTGGCAAAGCAGTTGCTGAATCCATTCATGTGACTGATTGGTACAATTAGGGATGCTGCTCCAAGAGCCACGGTGACACCATGAGTTTCAAGTTGGCTTGGGGTCATTGAAAAAAACATTGCATTCATTTTTGCAAAGGAGACAGAAGAATAATTGGGCAGTCCTAAAAAATTAATTTAAGTACAACCTTGCAACGACCAGAACAATAAGGATTAATTGCTAACCCTTTAGGTCACTGAAAGCTGCAGCATAAATGGCATGAAACTTCTTCCGCTGGGCATTTTCAAGAAAGAAACAAGAGCAAGTACCATGGACTTAAGAATTATTTATCAAGAGATACGTAAGAGATAATCACATTCACTTAGGAGAAAATGTCACATGTTTGAGAGTGGGTCCCACTGGACGAGAAATATTTAGGGAGCTGTTCTGAGTCACAAGGCTGCAGAGAAAAGGCCCTCTTGGTTGAACCTCACTGCCTGTGCTCCACTCACAATACAGCATCTGGACGCGTGGGCTTAGGCCCCCGCTCTGTATCTCTCTGCAAAGGCCTGGTTTCTCTCCTGTTTACAACTCCCTCCTTGCACTCTCATTGCAAGTTCCTCTCCCTTCCAGATGTCCCAAAGCAAGGATGAGTTAAAGGCTTCTGGATTTATGGTTTCCACTGACCTAAACCAGGCACTTGAAGTTATTTAACATAATACTGTGATGGAATTTTCTTCTAATCCAACACTGGAAATAAATTTATGAGATGTATGCGAGTGTAGGGGGGGAAAAAACTAAAAGTGCTTCTTGTTTAGTCAGCCTAAGAGATGGTAGGACCTGGTCATCACTACTCTCTCTTGCCTCTTCCAGAAGAAAGCATTTAATATCAGAAGCCTTTATCTTTACAATGGAGTTAAGGGATATATAACACATATATGTATTATATGTATATACTCACATATATTATATATGTATATACCTATATGTATATATTATATAGATGTATTTCAGTTTGTACTTGCAGTTTTACAATAATCAGAAGCTCAAAGAAGCATTTGCAGGGACAGAAATGTTCCTTTACGGCAAGAAGCATGACTAAACTTCTTCACAGACTTAAAAATCTAAATGAAATAAAGCAGGATTAACATTTGTTTCTGATTATGCTGTTGGCCATCGTGTTGGCAGATTCTTGTTTGGAACAGCGTGTGGCTACAAGTGGAATCAAGGTCCCTGTGGTGAGGCACACCCTCAGTGACTCCTCAGCAATTCTTTTGTTCAATGGTGAGACTACACGTGATTATTCCTTTCTCCATTGGGAAGCTTCTGAAACTGGAGATTCTCACAAACATGAAAGCGCTTGTCCTGGGACTCCGCATCCACCACCAATGCACTCATTCTGCCTTTACCTCTAAACCAAAGCCTTTCCCCAGCTCCCAGCAGACGTGTGTCTGTGGTGGAATGTATAAGCTAGCTCACACCCCGGAAAAGCACTGGGTCAGCATTTCCATCTCACCAACAACCTGGTGGATTGTATGGTTCCTTTTAAAAACTGAACCTTTCTTAATTATACTAGTGTTTTCTTGATATTCTGCTGACTGCATGAAAAAGATGAGCCTATTTATGTATCTTACACATAAAGTTTTCAGTTAGGACTATCTACCTGGAGGTCATAATACTTCCTGTTATGCAACAACATTTTACAGACAAATGTTCAAATGGATCGGCAAATTCAAAGTGGAAATCAATTTGCACTGGCAAAGCGGATCATGAACTTCTCTGAACTTATGCTCAGTTACTTCTTGACACTGGGTAGAGTGGCTTATTGTGTCTCCCAGGAAGTCTGAGTTTTTGTAACTGCAGAAACCCTGCATGACCAATGGCAATGATGTTTGTGGGAAAGAGGAACACAGCTTTGAAGTATTCACAACCAACACAATTTTGATTAAAGAAAGAACTCTGGTTTTTAATAGTTTTGATCATTAAAAAAGTTTAAACCTGCATAGCAATCATTTCAAAAATAATTATTTAATGTTCCATAATTAAACTGTACACAACCTAGTCTTGGGACATAGAAGCCAGTGAGGTGAGTTTGAGGCAGTCCTGTGCAGTCCCACGAGCCAGGAGTCGAGTTTTCATTCGCCTTTTTTTTTTTTTTTTGTCATTCATTCTGTTCATCTGAGTTATTTGGACACTTGGCACCATCTGGCTCTGCTGCTGAGCGGATCTGCACTGGGAACACAGAGCAGCTTGACCCCGTCCCTTCTCGCTTCCCCTCCCCCACTCGGCCAGATTCCTCAAAGTCGTTCAATGTCTCGGTATTTCTTCCTCAGAATAGAGACCTGGTCTTTAAAGAGGACAGGGTCGAGCCTCATCTGAGAGTGGATCAGCGGCATGTAGCCAAACCAGCTGGCAAACGTATTCATGCAGCTCTGGCGCTGGGCAAAGTGGTCGGGGTCAGCCCAGCGGGAAGCCCGGGAGGTCTGGGGAAAGGGAGAGAAAAAGGCAGGCGATGAGAGAGGCGCAGGCTGAGCTGGAAACCCTTCAGAAAACAGGTGCGGCTGGTGGGCAAGCAGCCTGGCTCGGGGCTGGCCTGGCCACCAGGCCGCCCCACCCACGCGCCTGGTGAAGCCGCAGCACCGATCCTGGTCTTCAGCCTCACCACATGGTTTTCCCGAGATGCTACATTCTTCATGCGAAAAACATACAAAGGTCCAGATTGACTAATTCTCCAGTCAGTCAATGATTTGCCAATTGAACCTCAACTACTATGGACACTAAAGAACTTCTCTTGGCGCTTGGGATCAAACTCGATGACTAACAATGCCCTTTTGGTTTCACGAATAGTTTTCTAAAATCTTTCGTTTACTTGGTTGAATTCTGGGTAAGTGGAAAAGATGGCTTTCATCTCTTTAGCTCTCCATGTTGCCCTTAAGGTTGGTCAAACATTTTCAGACAAATGACTGACACTGATTTAAAAAGAAACACATGACTTAAGGGCTGAAGTTTAAACAGACCTAGACCAACTAAGCATAATGTCTTTAAAGCCATGTTTTTATAAAACAAGGAAAAGGTGGGCTGCTCAATTTTGGGGAAAAAACACAAACTCATTTTTGTCAGTGGGGGACAACCATGTAATGAAGCATAGGTATGTGTGTATGTGTGTTCAATGTGTCTGTACCCTCCTGCATTGTTAGAAAATACTTCCATGAGAAGATACAATTACTTTGAGAATCACTCACAGTCACTTTAAAACCACAAGTGTCAACATGCTTGAAAGTAACCACTGAAGATAAATATAAATGTCAAGTTATCTCTGAGTAGCAGAATAACAAAACACTATTGGGTAAAGTGTTTTCAGGAAGCTCATTTGAGCTTCACAAACTGGTCAAGTTCTCTACCCAGGTAATAATATCCCCATTGTATACATGAGGATGCAGATTCAGGGGATTTGAAATTGTTTGTTCGAGGCTGGAAAGGGCGTAACTCAGGCTCCATTCTTCACCATTTATACTAAAAGAACTTGGTAAATTAGAGAAGGTATCAAATTAAGCTGACCAGTTGAATTCATATCAAAGCAGGCAGTCCCAAAAGTACTTCATTTTGTTCCTAGATTAGTTTGGCTTGCAGGCTATTTCTGACTGGCCCACTCATTCCCAAAGGGCCCCTTGCATCCAGGCACACGCTCATGTATACAAATACAAATACTGTCAGAAACTTAGGTTCATTCTTATTCTTTCTTGCAAATGAAAACAGAGTCCAGATGAATCATTTAAGGATCTTCTTTCCTTCTAGATTTTAACATTTTGGGTCAAATTAGAGATCTCTTTCCTGTGTAATAAAAACATCATCTTAGAGCATGATATCCATTTATTTCCCCTGTCATACATTCAATTAACTAATGTGTATGATGGGAGTAAAGGGCAACCACAATATATTTTTAAATAGGTTTACCTAGTTAGACCTAAGGCTAAATTTAGATTGTCCCAAAAGATGTGTAAAATTACTAGATATACTGGTTTGGTAGAAGTAGGCAAATCTACAAAAAGCATAAAACCAACTTCTAAGTAGTAAGTGTTACTAGTATTCTACCCCTGATTAGAGCATAACATCAGGGGAGTTCATAGGACTCTCTGAGCAAACAATATTAAAGGACTGTCATGTCCTTCAATGATAATAATAACATAATACATACAAAAATGCCTGAGCACACAGTAGCCACTCCAAACAGCCTGCTTGAAAATACTCCTGTAAATCCTCTTGCCTGTTCTGTCAGTAGTTAGAGAGACAGAGAATTTTGCACTAGAGTGTTTGTTCACTAAGGACAGCTTTGTCATAGCCAGTATCTACAGCAGTGCCTCGTAACATGTATATGTTCAACAAAGAATGACGAAATTGCATAAACTTAAAATCCTGTAAATTTTTTGCTCTTACTAAATTTAGAGAATGAAAAGCCATCAATTGTGTTAATGTGAGGCCTAGCTAAGTTTTCTTTTGCAGAAGCTAGCTTTGTATATACAACTTTCAGGAACAGTTGGAACAAGGTGCAAGGAAAACCTCAAACAGCCGAACTTACATAACCATGCTAAAGTATACCCTTTCAAGGTTGACTCAAATCCTGTTGGATTTTCCATAATCTAACTTGGATAGACCTAGATAGTCATACTTAAGGTTTCTGAATTCTAACATATAGTACTGGGCTCTGTCCAAGATGAATAAAAGCAGAGGAGCTTCAGCATATCCAGATCACCCTGAATCAGGACCCTGGGTGGAGAAGAACCAAGCAGTGGAAAGAACAGAGCTTGGGATTCAACTCTCAGTTCTGTCTCATATACTGGGTGACATGGGGCAATATGCTTAAATTCTCTGGATCCTAGTTTTCTTACTTGTACAAAGAAAAAGTTGGATTGTATTTTCTTGCAAGTATCTTTAGTTCTAAACTCTTATGACTCAACTTAATATTTTACTTATCTAAAAGCTTTCTATGTGCTATCTCAAAATGAGGTAGATTTTTCCATTTCCATTTTAAAGATGAGCCAACTAAATTTCAGAAAGTAACGGGCTTTTGTGTAGCTTATAAATGTTGGTTATAAGTGACAATGAAGTATTCTGGCTCCTGGTCTGTCGGCAGGATGCTCATTCAACTCCAGAGCACCCACCTGAAGGCTGTGTCGCAGAGACCGTTGAGAGCTATTCATCAAATAAAGCACCTACGATAAACTTGCATGAATTCCTTGTAGGTCTTTAACTCTGGAGAAGACAAGGCTTTCTCATACTACCTTGCAGGTTATATGAGAGCTTTTATATTTTTAACGTAAGGATACCCTTGACTTACATCTTCCCAATTACCCATGTACCACCAAATCCTCCTTCGGAGCTTTTAGATGTATTTTTTCTGATTATTTCCTCCTTATGCTTTCTAGAGGAACAGTGAATGAGTCCTCATCACCTCGGGCTCAGCTACCAGTGAGCAAAGCAAAGGAGGAGAATTCTCTCACCTGTCCCATCATTGTCTCCTTATACTGCTTCTTCTGGGTGACTTTGATTGGAGGCAATTTCGTTACAGCAGACACCAGGAAATTCATGAGAATGTCCTCACAGTTGGCCAGTTGGTCCACCATGCTCTTCAGGCTGGCTGGCAGATAATGGGTGTACAGGTAGTGATAATATCTGAAAAAACCAAAGCCAGGTCACACAGGGGGCCATCATCATATAATGACAGATGGTCCTCTGGCAAAAAACATGCACCCATTCTTGGAATCCCTAAATACGTCATGATAATGGAGCTGATAGCTATCACTTATATGTACTTACGCTATGCCAGATAATGTTCTAAAGTGTTTTATAAGAAATGCCTCATCTAATCCACATAGAACCTATGATATAGGTGCTATTATTATCCTTGTTTTATAGATAAGGAAATAAAGTACAGATATACCTAAATGCAGATATTACTTGCCCAGTCTAATTTTGATATTGGACTGGTTGGTTAGAAAGTGAATACTCTGATGACAAGAGAAGTTATTTACTCATTACAAGCTGCTTTACAATTTTAATTATTGGTTTAATCAGAACTGCATCCAATACTATACCATAGGTCTGAGTATAGTGTTTCTAATTTTGTGGCCTATAAACCATGTTTTAGCACTTGTTAGAACAAAACCCTAATTAATCTGGTGGTCAATCATTATGGAGAACCCATATTTAATTTCACCCTACTATTTTATTTTGAGGGACATAAAGCATACATTCATAGGAAAAAATGATTTGAATAAATCAGATTGATTGAGTGGTAGTGGTAGGAAGAATGGGGACAATGAACTTTCAAGATGTGGAATCTTGAGATTAAGATTCAGTCAACTTAATTGCTTATACCTTGTACACTTCCAACTCTATACTTGAGATGCCAAGATTCTCTCTATTCTTTCCTAGGTCTCTGTCCTAGACTAGGTTCAGACTGGTGTGTTCACCTTACTAAGGCAGGTGAGTGGGGATTTCATTTACGAGTCAGGAATGTTAACCATCTGTACTCACTAATTTGGTAATCTTACTTACCAGAGTCCCCTGGCTTTAAAGACCAAATATATGCAAACAACTCCAAATTATATCTCCATCCATGATCTCTTTTCAACATACCCTTCCAGATGTCTTAACATGACCAAGACTGAATTCCTGAATTTTCCCTATATTTATTCCATCTATAGCTTTCCCCATCTATGTTGATTGCTACTCTATCCTTCTAGCTCTTCAGGTCGAAAACAGAGTCATCAAACTCTTTAATCTATCAGGACGCTATGCTGGAGCATCTTCAAAACATGCCCACAGTCTGATCAATACCTGGTACTTCCACTGCTCACTTCCTAATCCCAGGATCCATCATTTCTTACTTAGATAATGTTATCACCTCCTAATGGGTTTCCCTGCTTCTAACCTGGCTCCCTCAGAGTCTGTACTTGATCTGGCATCCAGACTGGACACCTAAAATACAAAAAAGGTGTCTTCCTCTGCTCAAACCCCCGTATCGGCCTTGCATGTCACTCAGAGGAAGGTGAAGTCCTCATGATGGACAGCAAGGTCCTGCATCTGGGCTGTGACCTCACTCACATGCTTTCCGTTCACCCCACTCTCCTTCCATTGGTCTCTGGATATTCCTCCACATTCTGCCTCAGGACATTTATTCTGGCCATTCCCTACGCCACAGCGCTATACTACAGATGTTTTCTTGGCTGGTTTCATCTTCTCCTTTCAAGTTTTTCCTGTTCAACAAGGATCACTGGGGCCATTCTCTAACCTGCCCCTTCAGTGCTCGTAATCCTTTGCCCTACTCTATTTGCCTTTTTGCTAACTTACCTCCTTAATATATTATAGGAATATTATGAATATTATGCCTCTCCCCTTGTTAGAATATAAAACCTGCCTATAAGTAATTCTTTCCTATTTTACTCAATGATAAATCCCAAGCACCTAGAACGGTGCCTGGGGTGCCCCGTTAAGTATTCACTTTTGGTTGTTATCCTAAATATTCAGTTACCTAATACCCTGTGAGTATGTGTTCACTTTTCAGATGAACTGATATTACTTCACCATAATTCTGGAAATGCAATAAGCCAAGTGGTTTCATTGGTTTCAAAGACACATGTTGGCCACATTGACAAAACTTAAACAGGGACATGAACTAATTTTTGTTAATGTTGGTAATAAGATTTGGCCCAAATTCCTATTTATGCAGCAGCGAGAAATTAATATAAGGAACTATATAAAAAGCTCTACATGGGATGGCGGAATTCCTCACTTGTGGTAAATAGCAGCTCCTGTTAACACCATGGAGTAGTCGTTCGTCCACTTGGATGTGTACCCCCACCGCTCCTTAGAGTTATCCCAGAAATGGCTGCGTGCAGGGTACCCCACAATCCTCTCGGGGAAGCTCTGCCACACTGTGAAGGCAAAATCCACCTGCAGGCGGAACACAAGCCAAACAGGCAATCAACAGCGTTAAAAAATGTCAACAAAACATTACCTCCCCCCGCTAATTCATAATGCAAAATCCCAGGACTGTTACAAAACATTAATTCCGTGTATTCATCAGCAAATTAAACTGACTGCTTGACATTTTGCTCCATGATTATGCACATTTTAATGTTTTCTCTTAAAGAAACTTCAGATTGATGCAGAAATGAAAGAAGAAGAAAAAATGTACTGATGTGTCCTTTAGAAATTCAGTCTGTTCTAACTAAAATAGAAGTCGAAAAAGCAGTGGCTTTGGCTGCCTCCCTCAAAGGTGCACGTGAATCAATTCCTCACTGATTCATGTGAGGCGCAAATGTATCAGTTTCATGAAGGGGAGCAGATTTCCTATATAAATTTCCTATATAACAAATAGAGTGTGAATGTACAGCATATCATAACTAGAATACAGCAAAGCCTAAGTGACTAAAATAAGGCCTTCCCTTAAGAGAAAGAAAAAGGATGTTTGCGAAGCATACAAGTTCTAACAGAACACAGAGTAGGTAGCATAAGGAAATAGCAGTTCAGGCCTCTCAGTTCTGAAGATGCTCAGTGTGAGGGACATCAAGAAAAAGCATCCACAGAGAAAAATCACTAAGAATGAGTGGGGACAAGGCTAAGGGAAGCCACAGGATTATTTTAAAGGAAATGCAACTAAATGACTTTCCAGTGATTGTAATAACCCAGAGCAGAGGTACTTCTGAACTTGCTGCATAAACTAAATAGTCTGTTTTCAAATGTGTACTCTCACTCCTGAAAAATTTGATGAATGATGTATAATATATAGAAAGTAAAATAAAAACAGTAATAGTTAACAATCATGTGATGCCACAGGAATGGTTATAGGTAGTCACATAGTTTAACCCAAGGGATCCTTGCAATAACCCTAGGAATAAGTAATTTTACTGTCTTCACCTTACAGAGGGTGAAGCTAAAGTATCTGAAGGTTCAATTAATTAGTAAGTGGCAGAGCCAAGATTCAAACCCAGGCCATCTGGTTTCAGATTTGGTGTGTGCTGTTACAACAGCCCCCCTTTTGTAGCTCTGCTGCTACAGCACTGGAAGCAATTTGTCATTTATGCAGATTACACATTGACCCTACAACCTTTGCCCTATCTCTCCTTCATAAGACATGCAAACAGAAATTTCATTTGCTTCACACATATTTCAAGTCTCAGCACTGTGATGGTGTCTGAGTGTGATGGAGTCCAATTTCTGCCCTCTTAGAGATTCAAAAGCAGAGCAAATAACAATTTGCAAAAGCCAAAAGGTGCAAACAACCCAAAGTCCATCAGCTGATGCATAAATAAACCAAATATGATATATCCATAAAATGGAATATTACTCATCCATAAAAAGAATGAGGTACTGATATGTGCTATGACATGGACGAACCTCAAAAACATTATGCTGAGTGAAAGAAGCCACACACAAAAGAACACACACTGAATGATTCCATTTATGCAAAATGTCTAGAATAAGCAAATCCATAGAGATAGAAGACAGATTGGTGCTTCCACAGGCTCCATGATCAGTGGGTATGAGTTTTTTTCTTGGGTGATGGAAACATTTTAGGGTAAGATAGTGGTAATTGCACACACTGTGAATGTACTAAATGCCACTGAGTTATGTACTTTAAAATGGTTAATTGTATGTTATGTGAATTTTACCTCAATTGCAAGAAAAAGCAAATAATCTTAGATCAATATTTCTCAAGTCTTCACCATTGTATAATATCATATCCACCTTTGCCACATTCCCATAGCACATTCAGTGACTTATTTAATACTTTTTCTTGAACTGCTCCTTTTTTTTTTTTCTTCATTAGGTAAACATGTTAGTGAAATCCTAGGTTTGGTTGCTGGCTATATAATTTTCTAACAAACATTAAATATATGATTGTTCAAATGAAATATGCTTGCCATGAATCATATACAACTATTATGTGTGCAAACCATCTCTTGGGAAATCCTGGTCTGGGTCATCTGTAAGGGTCCTTTTATCTCTGAATTCTTTGGGCTTAGTTAGAAGTCACTATTTTTGTAAACGGCCATAAATTCAAATCTAGTTTGGTGCCCTTACTGAAGTAAAGGAAGCCTTAGTACACTGTGTTTCCCCAAACAACAACATTCAGGGAGAAAAAAGTAGGGTGTTGAAGCATATATGAAGAAAGCTTGGTGGGATGTGGGGCGCCTCAGTTAAAAGGCAGCAGGGGAGTGGACAGTATTTGTCAGAAAATTGAAATTGAGTCATGATAACTTGCACATCATCACCTTTGTTCAGTACTAATGGTGTCGACCAAGGGACAATATATCACACAGCCTGTTGTCAAAGAATTGGCCCGACTGTCAGCACTCTTTGGGGTTTTCCATTATTCTTTGAAAAGGAAACACATGCTCTGGCAACTACCATAGAACCCAATGGGGTGTTTTCATCACATGAATTTCTTAGTCTCTCAAAGCCATTTCAAGTCATTTCAAAGGAGCTCAAAAGTAAATTCAGATAAAACTACAATTCTTGTGATACTTTTGCTTTCATGCAGATCATTAACACATCAAAGGAGGCAAAGGTCAGCTTCCAGCCTTTTCTCTTAAAAACCAACATCTGTTTTCTTTTGAGAATTTGCAGCAACCCAGATAAATGTAAATAACTATAAACTATAAACCAACTATATCTAATACCCTTTGTAAGATGCTGTTTAAAAATCTATCCTTAATACTACAGGGAGGCATTTAAACAAGCTAAGAATCTTTAAAGAGGAAATAAAATGAGCCAACATCTCTTCACCTAAAAAAGGAGAAGAGAGAAATCCTTGTCTTTGACCATTTAAAGCTACATGACCATTCACGATCAGCAGGCAAAAGTAAACCAGACTGCCAGCCTCTTAAATTTACATACCATTTTCAACCCATGTTGACTTCTAATTACTTCACGTATAACACATGTTCTTCCCAGCATGCACCCAGTGGCTGGAATTGCCATTCTTCGAAAAGAAATTCACCAGTCCATGCATACATCACAACAGCTGGAAGTTATTTTGCCACGGGACAGGGGACAACAACCCTAGAGTGAGATGAATTGCCTTGTGTCCAGAGGAAGACATAAGCTGAACGAACACTTGAGGTCACAGGATAACAGTTTAGGTATATGCTGTGTTTGTCTTGACCATATGTTCCACGGTGGCAATGTGCTGTTTTTCCTGTATTTGCCGTATGAGAGCCACCCTCCACTCTCCTCGCCATGCTCTGTGCCCTGGGATAATGGAAGCCTATGGGTGGCACAACCTGGTCTTCCCTGCTGGCTGACGGGGTTAGGTCACTGGGAGTCACTGGCAGGAACATGGAGGTGGGTACGTGAGAAGTCAGGGTATTTCATCACTGCTCCCTCCCAGACTTAGCACCAGAGTTCCAGCAGTTGCCACGTCCCCTCACCATCACAGCTTTTACAGGCAGCCTCTTCTCCCGAGTTCCATCTCCAGGGACTCTGGAAACCCTCTCTCCTTCCCCTGTTCCTTCAGGCCTAGGGGTGGGGGCTGCTTCCTGCTCTACCTACCCTCTAGGCCCTCAGCCTCTCTGGTGGGGTCTTTGAATCCACCCACCTAGGTAATCCTAAATCCCTTCATTTTAATCACCTGATTTGAATTCCGTTCACTGCCAGGACTCTGATGGCTAATAAGCAGGAATTGTGTAACCAAAGTGCCTGGCATGGAGACCAGAACAAAGAAATCCCTCAGTAAATACTGTTGAATGAATGTGCTCTTGGGATGCCAGTTTCCCCTGCAGGAGGCAGTGGAAAAATGCAAGTCAGAGTGTCCCGTACTCTGCCTCTCATAGCTGTCTCTCCCTCTGAACATTAAGCATGTCTCCCCGCCTCTTGCCAATGTACACACGCCGCAGCTGGCTATGTGTTCACACTCATATGTAATCCCTCAGCATGCATCCCTCCAGCCATTCACTCACCAAGCATTTATAGACCTTGGGCTACATAGCGAGCCTGCCACCAATGTGAGGCTCAGGACCTTTTGTCCTCGCATTATTCAGGTTGCCCTTGCACATAACGTCTGTGCAACTCCATTTGATGGAAATTGGAAGCATCCACGGAATTTCAAGAGACACCAAGACTGCCAGCCTAGGTTAACATGGAGTTCTGGCTATGAGGGCAGCAGGGCATTAGTAGGAGTCCCGTAAAGTGCACACTGACAAGTGTTGATGTTTAAATTGAAAAGAAAATGCTTATGAATAAAAAAGGAAAAAGAAAGGGAAAGGCCTAAGTAGCCAAGTCTCCAGGCTTTTTAGCCGCTACCATCAATAATGCATTTGCTATATACTAGTTTTTGGTCCCCTCTATGGCTTAAAGTAAGGTTTCAAAGATCAATACTCATTCGAGTTGTAAAAATGGGTTTTCTATCATATCTATCTTTCCACCTCTCTCCTTCTCCCACATGCTTTGTGCAATCTTATTTTTGGCACAAACACCTGAAGATCTGAAATAGCAGGGATCTCCATCTCAGCCTTGAAGTGAAACCATTAGTTTGTGTGTGAGTAAAGGAAAACGAGCACTTTAAAGCAAGACATAAAAGCTGCGTTCCGAGCCCAGAATAGTGTTCCCTAACAAAGGCACACCCCCGCGCAGGCATCAGGGTAACTGGGGAAAGACGGGTTGTTTGCTTTGGACAACCTGGTTTCAAAAAAACACTTAACAGGTGCCCCTTTCTGCCTCCCCTTGGTTTGTCTGCACACCTGGCTGCAGCTGTGCTGTTTAAAAACCAAAAAGGAGGACGGGCAGGAGGGGAGAGGTGAAACCCAGCCATGCAAATGAGCAGCCAATTAGCTGAGAAAACAAAGGAGGAAATGCCCTCATCAGGGTGCCAGGTGGTGGCAAGGTGCTCCCGGAAACTGGGTTGATTAAAATGACTCTGCAGGAAGTTTTGAAAACTGTTTTGACTTGGCCAAGGGCAAAAGAAGCCCTGGAACGTTGGGGCTTGGGACCACTGCCTGGAGAGCCCACAGCTCCCTCCTTAGGTGTGGCTGCTTACCTCTGTGGTTGAAAGCACGGTGTCCTCGTCAAGGCTGAGCACTGCATCCGTGACAATGTTGTCATAGGGCAGGAACCGGCTGCTCATAACCTGGGAGTGAGCAGAAAGCAGGCAGGAGGGAGGGTATCAGGGAAAAGAAAGGTAAATTTAGAGCCTTGTTTGCAGGAAAACTCTCCCATCCTCACCTTTGAAGACTGCCATTTCCCATTAGCACAGATTCATTTCTGCCACAATTATTGGGCACCTACTGTGCACAGACACCTCCCTATCAAAGGAATACAAAGGTAATCCAGATACATTCTCTGTTGTGGAGGAGTTCGGATTTTGCAGAGAGACCACGATGCAGATGACAGGTCCTAGCCTGACAGAAGAAGTGCCAGGAGATCAGAGGATGCAGCAACCCGCCACTTAGAAGAGCAGACGAAGGCCTCATAGAAGTGGCACTGAAGCAGGGCCTTGATGGATAGGAATTCACCAGGTATAGAGAGAAATAAGGCCTAGCAGAGTGCTTGGTCGATGCACAGGCCCAGAGGAGAGAGGCCAGGGAAGCGTGAATGGGTGGAGCAGCAATTCCACGTGTGGGACACACCATTGTGAGGCCGGGTCATTTTAGGAAGTGGACAACCACTTAACAATTCTACTCCTTATGTAATCACAGACTATAAAAAAATATACACATATATATGAGTAGCTATAGCATAAAAGTAGTAGTAGTTATTTTTTTTAATTTCATTAAAATGAGAATTAAGCTGATTCAAAGAAAAATACTAAATAAACAATAGCACATGTGGACCATGGATTCAGGGAAATTGTGAAGACAGTACATTAACAAAGTTTGGGCAATTCCAGGATGTGGCATGGTGAGGATGTGTGTGTGTGTGTGTGTGTGTGTGTGTGTGTGTATGTGGAGGGCTTTGAGGATGAAGGGATCAGCCGGAAAACTCACGACTGGAGAGACTGCTCTGTGACAGTGACAGCCGAAGCCTTTGTGTTGAGTGTGCCATAGAGTAACTCACCATGGGAATGGTAATAACATTTTTAAAGCATTCACTATGTGTCAGGAAATGTTCCAAGTTCTTTACATACCTCATCCTATTTTAACTTCATAAAAACCCCATTTTATAGCAGAGAAAACTAAGGCAGAGAAAGGTCAAGGGTCTTCCACAAGATGGACCCACTAACACTTCCTCCCGGATGGTGGGATTCTGCAGAGCCCCTCAGCCACTGTGCTCTACCCATCTCTGGTTCGGAAAGAACTTCATGAGTAAAAGTGGGGGCATAGGGCCACCTCCACCTCCACCTCCAAGTCACCACCTTCTGCTGGGAGTTACAATAGCAGTTACGACATCTGCTATTGATACTCAGAGACCTAGAGGAAAGACACACTTGCCATCAACTTTTAAGCCACAGAGGCCAGGAAACGAAGCAGTCAGACCCTGGAGACAACGGGGAAAGAGAGACGTGGCACCTGGCTGCCAAAGGTATGCTCTCCACAAATGTAAGCTCCCCACCCCCCAACAACAAAAAAAAGTTCAAGCTGTATTTACTTCAAGAAGCCAGCTCATCCATAAGCGTCATCTCAGATTCGGAGGCCTTATGACATAAATGGATGGGACGTGTCCACTAGAGCCCATCTCTCGGAGCTCAAGGGATGTATCTATGGCATAAATGGCCCCAGGGTCTGCTCCTACACATCTGTCAACTGGGTCAAGTTTTCTTTTTCTCATGCTTTCAAAATAAAATAAAACACTAAGCTATCAGCAACCCCATATACACAGTGCTCAGAAATCTCCGCCTGAAGCGGTTCTCCCGATACTGTTTACATGTCCACTGACCAACACAGAAACCATTAGCTGCCAGCTTAGTGGTGCCCTGACCTTTCCCTGGTTAAATCTATACGGAAGAGCTGCAAAGACACGGCCTATAAATTCAAAATAGAAGTTTGCAGCCAAAGTAGCAAACACATCAATTTTAAACTCAAGGCTAGATATGGAAATTGCAAACGGGGAATGAGGAGGACAGATGGCTTCTTCCCCACTGGTTTTAAAAGGATCCACTTCCTCTTTTCAGAACCCACTTCAGCAACAAAGGTTAAGAACCCATAAGCCAGTCACTTTCAAATTCAAATGTAGAAACTAGAGGTTCTCTTTCAAATACCTTACCAAACATGTTCCAGAAGTTGAATGGATTAGCATGTAAGGAACCAATGTACTTATAAAGTCAATCCTGAGTGAACGGGGTTTGCCTCATCAGTTCATTTAAGAAATATTTAGCTACCATGTACCAGCCCAACCCCTCCTAGAATTAATAAACATGACCAGGAAATGATCAAAATTCAAGAAATTCACTATCTAATGGGGAAGATTATAAAATGTCCATAAGTAATTATACAAAGTACAGTAAGAGTTAGCATTTATCAGACACCTACCATGCCTACCAAGACTTAACATTTATCAAACACCTACCACGTGATCCACACTTCTAAGTACATTTACATGTAGAGCATCATAACATTTCGTCTTTTAGCTACTCTACTAGTTAGGTTTTACTCTATTAGTTATGTTTACTGAGGGACGAGTTGGCGCAAAGAGAGTTAAATAACTCACCTTTGGTCAAAGAAAAGTATGACTCTAGAGCCCATAATACAGAGCATAATATCACAATGCCTCCCAGAAGAGTAGCTGACATTTACCGGGCCTTTGGTGTGTAACAGGCACAGGGTAAGCACTGTAATGTACTCTCTCATCTGAGCCTCCACATGGGCCTAGGTCTTAGTGAAGTCCCCTAGTGTGTGCACCTGAAGCAGGACATAAGGGCAAATGCTTTAGGGGGACAATCCCCAGGCAGTGAGAGTGAGGAAATAGGAAGAATGTGGCCCCGCTGGGATCAGTGGTCAAGGTGCAGGCTGAGACTTAACAAATGGCCAGGAGCTCAGATAAGGATATGGCTGGGAGAAGGTGGGGTACCTTATAAGGCACATCTGACAAAGCGCATGAGAAAGGAGCTATCATCATCATCATCTTATACAGAAATGGGGACTACTTGCTGAGAGTGAAAATATAAAATCAATCAGTGAATCTGTGCGTTAAAATGCGAGAACGCCCATAAAACTGAGAATGGTAACCAGTCAGTCAGACTGGATTTTGTCTGAATATCCTGACAAATTCAAAGAAAGACATTGCTACCAGAAGGCGACCTAGTCACCCATGGGAGCATGAAAGCAAAGACTCCCAGTTCAAAGTTAACAGCACCCATCTAGCCATTGTTCAGAGCCTCAGGCACTGGAACTGGGCAGACAGGTAAGTGGGGTGGTGGGCAGGAGATTTCTGTGTGCCAGTCCCTTTGGAGAAACTACACCTTCGGTGCGATGGATTCATAAGGTGAGACAGATGCTGAGAAGCATGGGATTGTTCTAATTCCCACCTTTTCTCGTTGTGTTTGTTCACCAAGCAGCTCTCTGATAACCATGCTGCTTGATTCCAGCCTTATGAACACTGTGATTCCATGTGTCACATTCCCCACTGTGTTCCAACATGTTGCACAGTGCCGAGCACACAGTAGGCAGTCATGCATTGGAACCGAACAATGCTGTGCTCATCTTCTTGTCCGCGTGACAGCCATGATGCTCACTGCAGCATGCTGAACTCTCGGAGACTGCCACTTTTACTGAGCCAAATAATGATCTCAAATGGTTCAACCTAAGCAATTGATAATTTCTTTTATTCTGGCTCAAAGATGTTTTACTTAGTGTGAGACAATCTCTCCTGACCTGATTCCCTGGGGATTGAGAAAGGAAGTCTCACTGATGACATTGCTTTACCAATCTCAGTTTCCTTTAGTAAGGCCCAATGTCTTCACAATGGATGAGACCCGCAAGAAAGCAACAAGCAGAAGCTCGAGAAAAAAGAACGTACCTCTGGCTGCCAATAGTGGAAGAAATTTCAGAGGAGGTAGCATGTGAAGAGGGGCTTAAAGAATGTATGAGAATTTTGATTACAGAGATGAGGAGTTGAGAAGGGATGCTTAAGCTTTACAGTGAATGGGAAAGACAAGAACTAGAGGTAGGAAGGGACACAGTGCCATTCAGATAACTGTGAATGATCAAAGTCGGTCAGAGCTCCAGGTCTGAAGGGGGAAGCAATGAGAGAGAAGACTGGGAAAGCCAGTAAGATTATGTATGGCCTCAAATGTTAATTTAAAGCATTAGCAAATACAGTCCTTTAAGGGCCATGACATGATTAAGGAACTCGTTTGGTTCACAGACAAAATGAATTGGAGAGTGGAAGCAGGGAGCCAGCAGGTCTCCGATAGAGACACTGAGACAAAATCAAGGTGATGTCCTTTTTCAAAGAAATGTGAGGAAGGATGATGATTCGGAATGAGGCAACTAATTCAGATTGATCAGCTAAACAAACCTTATGCATCACCACTCTCTTTAGCATCCTCATCTTGACTCCCGTCACTTATAGAAAGATTACTATTGTCAGGCCCTGAATTCATTTAATCCTAATCATAACATCAGGAAGTATGTGGCATTATTCCCATTTTGTAGGTGAGGGAACTGAGGCTCAGAAATAGAAAGCATATAGAAAGTCAGAGATCTCCTGAGGAGTTTGTATGAGGATCCAGAACTCCCTAAATTCAAAAGCCAATGGCTGTTAAACTGGCTGAGGACATTCAGAGACAGGCTTTAGAGAAATATAGTCCAGGGCCGGAAGTTCCCAGGAGCAGAAAGAAGACCTCTAAGGCCAACC